AACGCAGAGTTTCTGAATTGTAGATAGGTGTCATGTACAAAGACTTTAAATTGATGACGTGTAGGCATAGCATGAGGGAAAATTCTTTTTCTTTTTTTTGATCAAGAGGGAAAACTCTTCTTTGTATAAGATATTTTCTTGTAGTGTGGCATCCGGTTCAAATTAAGAGATGGATTAACTAAACTAAATCCAAATTAAAATGAAACCACGTCGAACCAAGTTAAACCGGGCTCTGGATATCATTGATTCTTGCCGAGAAGGGTCATTCCGCCAACTAAAAGACAGTCTCATCAGCTTCTCCGAGTGAATGATATTTTCTGCCATCTTCATTCCAGAGAAGACTTCTAACGCTAAAGCTCTCAACCAAGCTCTTTATTCTCGCGACCCATTCATTAGATCAAACCGACTTAAGGCTTAGGTGTCGAACATGGGACGTAGATTTATAAAATAGCTTTTGGAACCACAAGAACACTGTAATTTACCAATGGTACTTGCATCGCCATAATATACGCAACTGTTTTTTAAATTAAGAAAAATACTCAAAATGAACCTCCATTCAGTACTTGATTAATATTGATATTTAAATAATTCACTTGGCCAAATCCGACTGCTAGACTTATCCCTTCTGTAGTTTCGAACACGGGATTAAGAGAAACTGTTCCACATGTTGGAAGGGTTTTTTTTTTTGTTCACACGGGAATGATTGGTTAACTTTTATCTCTCTATTTTAGTTTTATTTTGTTTTAAAACATTAAATTTTACCAATCATGTTGTAGCTTTATTTTGGAAAATTAAAACCTACAACAAATTTCTCTTAAATTTTACCAATTATGCTTTAGCTTTATTTTCAAATCTACAGTAAAAAAGATTAAAGCAAATCTTTTTCTTATGCATTTTAGGTCAAATCTCTACATCTTTGTTTTATATGCGGTAGAAACTGTAAATAAAATAATCTCTAAAATATCAAATAATTAGATAATTATAATAAAAAATATCTATATATTTTAGCAGTTTTGGGTGTTTTTAAAATTAATGAAATATTTTAAATAAAAAATATTATTTACATATCAGATTTTAAATAACAATAGTTTTGATAATTTATTAAATATTAATAAAATTATTTGAGTCGACACAAAAATAAATATTTTATATATACATAATATATTTTATTTGATATATCTACAGCCTAAAGTTTATCGTTACAACAAATTTAAGTACAACAAAAATCTCTGCAAAAACCATATACAGTAAAAAATTTACAGTAACAGCTACAATCAACTTAGTTACAACTAAATTTATACAGTTAAAGTTTTATTGCCACTGTTGATCCAATCATCACCACGATGAAAACTATATTTTGTTCAAAAATTCATTCGCCACAGTCTTCCCAATCATCACCACGATGAAAACTATCATCACCACAGTTAAATTACACCGGTGGTATTTTCTGGAAAAAACGTTAACCTTGTTTTGCCAGCTATTAAGTTTGAAAATGTCAGGTCACTCAATTTTTCTATGATACCACCATTGGAGTCCTTAACATTAGTAAATTAATATATTTTTTTGAATAGTTAAGGACTCTAATCAAAAATATTCGTCTAATGGTGTTTTCCATTTTAGAGTTCTTAGAAAAAATATATTAAATTTTAAAACATATGAAATTAATTTTTTTATGAAAAAATGACTTAGAAAAGCCTAAAAAAGGTTTTTGTCACAAATACATCCTTTAAGAAAAAAAAGACCAAAATAGATTTTATTAAAAAAATTATACCCTTTGGGTAAACTAATCTATACTTAAGGTTTAAAGTTACGGGGTTTAGTGTTAGGATTTAGGTTTTAGGGTTTAATTTTTTTTTCAAAAAAGGTTAAAATTTCAACAATCGGACGTTGCCACGTCATTAAGGATCAAGTCCTTAAATTCCTTAGTTAAGGATTCTTCCTTAGCTTATGCAAATTAAATACTACTAGATTTTTCACTCATGCTTAAAAAGCGCGGATACCATTTTTATTATTTTATCTACAGATGGATCGATAAGTCTTTTGCTTTGATGATATAAAATGTCACCATCTAATATAACTTCTTAAAATTAATGCAGATTTTAATTTATTGTTATTAGCAATATCTATGTTATGTATTGTATGTAATTATGTATTTTTATTTTTGGAAAATAATATCAACTAACTACACCTGGTGCTGGGAAGCGGGTCAAAATCGACATGCCCAACCCGCCTGATCCGCAAAGAAAATATATTTTATCTGCATCCGTTCCACTTAATTTTGCGGATAATCCACGGGACCCGTGGATAATTTTAAATAATAAAAATAAATATTTTTTAATTTTTCCTAAAAGATAATATTGAATAGTATATTTTTAATTAAATTTTTAATACTTTTTAAAAAAAATATTTTAAGGAAATTTAGTATATTTTTGAAAAATAAACTTAAAAAGAAAATTTTATTTTTGCGGATTACAAGGTACCTGCAATTGAAATTAGAACAATCCACACTCATCCCACATAAAATACACTTGACCCACACCTGCACCCGCAACTTAATTTTTTCAAATCGATCGATCTGTTCCGTGGCGGGTCAAACGAGTGGGACTCGCGGTTAATATCAAAATTTTGAGTTCTAACTACACCAATTAAGGTTGATGAGTTTATTTTTGAAAGAAACTTGAGAAATAATTAGAAGGTGAATTTTACCTATTAATGAAACCTATTATTATATAGTTTTTAGGCCCAGAAAAAAAGACTAAATTACCATTAGTGAAAACTTTAATTTGTTCATAAAAATAAGTGTATAATTGGAAAACATAAAAAAAATCATTAAACAGAATGTTTTTATTTCAATGGTATTGATTATTTAGATTTGATTTGCCTAAGAATATGTGCTAAGGATTTGGTTAAGAATACGTTGCGGGTGGTCTAAACATTTATTCTTGGATTTTTCTTTCCAAATTCAACCATTTATTTTTCAAACTTCTTGACGAATGGAGCTGGAACATAAGTCAATGCTTGGAAGATGACAAAAAAAAAAGTCAATGCATGGAAGATGACAAAAAAAAAGTCAATGCATGGAAGATGACAAAAGAAAAGTCAATGCTTGGATATTTTTTGCCAAAAGGGGACCGAAAAATACAACTATTGTCCCCTTAGAATAAAATCAAATTTTGGCACTTTTGGACCTTCACTACCCTTTTTGTATATAAAAATTCAAAGTAAAAAATTTACAAGGTAAAAAATTGAGGAAAAATATACAATATGAAATAGAGTAGCATGTGAATATATGAAAAATATTTTTACATTCAAAAAATGTTTGGAATAGTAATCTCAAAAATTGGATAAATCGGGTAGTAAATCAGATCTACCATCTACGGCGGTTCAGAATGTACAATCTACTAACAATTAATCCATCTAAAGGGCTTAGAATGCGTAATACACCAAAAACATATACATCTACGAATGAAGAATATGATAACTGACATTCCTTCTTTGTTATGCAGTTTCAGTAGAACATAGCATATAATAAAGACCCATCCGTCTACCTTGGCAGAACATATCTTCTTAGTTTTAATGTTTTGTCTACACTCGTGGGATTACGTTTCCACTGGTTAAACTAATGGAAAATTTGGTAGAATATATCTTCTACCAACGGTTTATGAGCCACCATCCGAAAATCTAGCAAAATCTGAAAGTAAATATTCTCTAAATATTTTTATTTCCTGTTTAATATAGTTTGCCTTGAACGTGGGTCTTCTTCTTTCATTTAAACCTCTGTTTTGTGAATGCTTTTTATGCATAAACCTCTGTTTTTTTGTTTTTCTGCAAGTTATCTTTCATATTCATGATCCGTTACATGTTGATTTTAACAGTGTTTTTGATTTATATTGAATTTAGATGTCTTTGAAACATGTCAATAACACTAGAAATCCATTACTTGTTTTTATTCAATGTAGATAGAAATAGAAAAACATTACAAAATATCAATCAAATTTGGAACAGAGACATAAAATACTGAGAATGCATCC